CTTCCCAAGAGAGAAAAACCCACAGCATGTACAAAAACCGAAGCCCGGCCCCATTGAGGCTAATCAAGATTAGCTGTTTCTAAATTGAGAGTTGCCCTGCCGATCAGTGGGCGACAGTCATCTGAGGTCTCTTCCTTTTTGAACCAATTCCAAGATATTCATTTTTGAACATTTTCCAGGCTATTTCCCCCTACTTGAAAGCTAAGCTAGCTCCTTTAGGAAGACGTTTTTTACCCTGGTAGCAAATGCAAATGTAGGTTGAGATATAGTTGAAAGAGGTCCCAGGCAAAACCTCCAGAGATATCAATATGGATGCTCTGCTGACACTTGACTCTTTAAAAAGAGTTCCAGCAAAGACATTATTTAATATTTTATTAACCCAGCCCATTCAATTAGACTACTCAGCCCGCTAACCGTTCAGACGCTGGTCAGTCCTTGAAACTTTATAATATTTATCCATCAGAAAACCAAGGTCGTATTTGTAATATCCAAAGAAATCCGTAAAATTATGCCTGCTTTGGCCAATCATTTCATTTGCAGCATATGAAAGGCGATAGAATGGGGGGAAAAAAGATGAAACTGGAATTACAGCCTCGGCCTACCTGTTTCAGCTCATCACTGCCTCCTCGTCCACAGCCTTATCAGTATTCCTCAGCGTTCCCCGTCTTCTCCATTACCCACTACTGGCAGCCAGTCAGGGACACTTTCCTTTGGCAGGTAACCGGCCCGCAAGGACAAAATGGACACACGGGCAATTTAAATGATTGGAAGCAGTAAGTAATATATTGGAGAGCCCTGTGTTTGAAAAGTCAGAAGTAAATTTCATGTTATTAGTGCCAACTCAGCGAAGCAGAAAACACAAGGTTTATAGAGGAACTAGTTAAAGTTGGAGATGATATTGTGGGTGTCTTACGATGCAAAAGATAGCGTATCTCAGAGTCTTATTTGTGTTTCAAGAGAGTGCCATCTCACCGATTTTGACAATTGTGAACCATGGCTTTGTGTAGAGAAACCAGTGCATATTCTCTCATAATTATGGAATAATCCACAAATCTCCACCGCGTGGCCCTCAACGAGAGGCGATGGATTAGAGATGTAAATATGATATCTGAGAGGGTGTCCCTGGTGAGTTGAACCCCATCTTTGGTGTCTAGCTTATTTGCGGGCCTGTGTTTCCCCCTCTATTCATAATCCTCCATGGAGAGCTGAAATTGGTCCTTGGTCTCATTAGAGGCCCTAGCCATACCCCTAACACACCTGAGATCGATGGGTACAGGCCTTTAAGTGGTCGCCTTGGTTATTAAACGCAGAGGAAGCCAATTTCTGGTGGAGGAAAGCTAATCCGATCACACATTAGGAGCCCATATTGGCTGGAGTGGCGCGAGAAAGGGATAAAACGGGGTTGTGTGTCTTCTGTGTGTACTCACTAGATGGGCTGTTCAACAAAAGCAATATTGTGGGAGCAGCATCACATGCTTTCTGCAATCCATGCCCTCATTGTTTAAAAATATGCAGAAATATTCTCATATTAAAATATGCAGAGATATTTTAAACTCATGTGATTTCCACCCGAGTATCATTTGTTTGTGCATGAGAAAGTTGCTGGATGCTTCAGATGGTTTGTGTATTGATAGAGGAATTAAATTACAAAGTTTTGGCTTAAGACACAGATATTTTTGTCTTTGCGTGTGAGTAGTTAAAGACTAATTTAGCAGGAAATCATGAGTAAGTGGGGGAAAGGAAAGGTATTTATCCAAATTAGTATAATAATGCGACATGTTGCAGACGAGCATGTGGTTTGATTCTCTTCAAAGATTTTGTGATTAGGTTCTTATCAAAATCAAACAAGAATATGAACACATGCATCAGATGAGCAACCACCTGCTCCCTGAATATATTCAAAGAAATCCATTGTTTAAAATCGCATATGTGTTCAAATTAGAAACGTTGGTATACTAAAAAAAAAAAGTGAACCAAATATTGGGCCGAAAAATATGAGGTTCCATGTGAATTCATTCAGGCCTGATCATCAACATGATATAAAATATTTGTTGACGATTGGAGCATTTCCTGACTTTCCACAGACATATTTTGGCTTCTCTTGTACTTCTGCACAGATTCCTGACATTGCTGATCAGATGCGATCTGGCTGACTTCAACAACCATGTCGCATTCAATAAAACATTGTTTTTGATTTTGTTTCTTGCTTCTCTGAAAGCCTCATTAGTTCCCGCTCCCATTATCTGAAATCCGCATGTCACTTCTTGTTATTGCTTGTTTGACATTAGTAATATGTAATGTGATTTTACGGATACTGAAACGATGTATTTGGATGTCATTTGATCTTTTTTTTTCTTTCTTGAGACCCATCTCTGTGCGTTTTCAGCCATCTTGGCCTTACGCTAATTATTGAATGTAATACCAGACATAGGTAAGAGTTATACAGTTACGCTTCGACTGAGCGAAGAACCGTGAACCGAATGTGAACTGACCACTGACAAAAGGAAGTGTATTAAAAATAATTATTGAGTTCAGTTCGTAATTGAATAATAGGGCCTCCCTTGGTCTGCGGAGTGTTTTTGTACGGCCTCAGGCTATTCGGATTTCACAGTTATGTTTTCATTGAGACTGCATGTTGCGAATTGTGGCCTGACCGAAACATCTACGTCTGTAAAATTAGGACTTCCTGTGAGCTGCATATGCATGCGCACGGTATCAGATGGTAGTCGCAATATGGGCATATGCTGCGGCAGGACGTTGTCGAGGGATGACAGGTGGTTGCTGGGACATTTGCATAATTATGGATGTACCACATACACCCGTAGCAACTCATAAACCCGGAGACCAGAGAGCTGAGAAATTTCAACCGCTCAGAGCGCTCAGAGCTTCTGCCAGGTGGCAAGACACTAACAGTAAATCTGCTTGTCGACACTCATTGCGTTGGCTACAGCTAAAACATGGTACAGAGCCTAACAAGGGAAACAAATGTGCTCTGTCAGGGAAAAGACTTCCTGGGGGTGTTAATTTTTTCCCTCAGGTCTAATGTGCCACTGACTGTGGCTAATTTACTCTGAACTGGTTTGATATTTTGTATGATGTTCATAAAACGAAGCGCTTTATATGAAACATGCATAATGTATTATGAAGATATTCTTAAATGGATAGTTGACCTACTGTAAGGGATAGATTTACTTACTGTACTCTCATCATATTAACAAGTGTGGCAGGATATTCTTCAAAAATTCACTTTTTGTATTCCACAGAATAAAACAAATCAAGAAGGTTTGAAATGACCTGAGGGTGACAGAGTTTTCATTTATGGGTGAACTGTTTTCTTTAATGCAGCATAAATGTTTCAAATATTCCTCGAGTCTGATCGAGTAGCATTCCAAGAGTGCTGAGGGTCCAACAAAGTGTATCACTCTTGTCTGTCTGCGTGTTCTTTATAGAATCTTCATTGATTTCTGCAGGTTACATTGTTATGCCAGTAGGTGGCGACAAGCGAGCGTCATTGTGAGCGAGTCATTTTAATCATTTGTTCAACTGATTTGTTTGAGCTTACATAGAAAATCAATGAAAAAGTAGCACAGTGGAATGGAAAAACGTGTCTTGATTGGTTGAAAAACATTGATTTATTTAGGAACGAAACAAAGAGTTGAGTCATTTAAATCATTTGTTTTGGATGACTTGTATATACTGTAAGTGCTGATTCATTCAGGAACAAAACAAATGGGTGATTCTCAAATGGAAGTCCTATCTAGACCAGTCCTTATGAAGTTTCTAGGCTAAACACTCAATTTTAAATGTGTGGAAAGGTTTGTGGATGATTGGAGGATGCGAAGGATAAACTTGATGAATGCTTTAAAACATGCTGAATGAAGGATGCGAAACAAAGACTGTCTTCCAAGGATCTTTCAAATTAAAATGGCCTTTCAGGATTGAGAAGCCCTCAAATGATCATCCATTCAACCATTTTGTTGAATGAAATGGCTGATTTATTCAGGAGCGCCATTATTGTGTATTGCAGTAGTTCTGCTGTGTTCTTTTCAACTACTTTTGTAGGTGGAGCAACAACAGGCAAATTAACTGGCAATAATGTGTCTAAAACATGTTAGTCAGTATTAACTGTGGGTGCAGCTTGCCCAGTCATGCTGCCTTCTTGCTACTCCAGTAACTTATCGGAAATTAGAAATGGAGGCCTAAACACATCTTTTGAGCTAGCAACAGCAGATCCTGAATCTGTGGAAAATGTAAGTGGTTTACACTCAGATTTAGTTGCAGCAAACAGTGCAAATGACTGTATTACAAATATAGCAGTTGATTATGCTTAATAAATCGAGAGAAGCAGAAATTGTGATCACGATTAAAATACGATTCTCTTTTATTGGCAAGTACCATTTTGTGGTTACAGTTACTCAGAAGAATATTCAATCTTTTCTTATCAGACATTTTTAATTTAATTCTTTAAACATAGATGCTTAATAAGAAGTGTTACAGAAACATATAGAAAGGTGTAGAAATAAGTCTGCTCTGTAGATGACCACAGGCACAGAACCCTTGAATCCAGAGCGGCTGCGATCTGAGCTGTGTGAGACAGGAAGTGTGAACTGGTATCTGACTAATCCCCCCCCATCTGCACTGCAGTTCAAACCCATTACAGCGCAGCAGCACAGGGACACCTCTGGCTCTTCTCGCCCATCTCTTTCAAAAGCGTGTGCGGTGCACGCGTCACAGAACAAGCCCAGCTAAATGGTCCTATTGCCACTGCCTTTCTTTGCAAGGCTCAATGGAACTGGCTTTGTGTCAGACAGAAATGTACTACTGTGTCCCTGTCACACTTTTGTGGGACTGAAAAGGGTCTTTCTGTAGGAAATCAAGGAAACTCAGCTGAAGTGCTGTGTTTGTTATCTGTGGCCATGTGGGAAGGATGTCTAACTGTACCGTAGTGAAGAAAGTGAGAAAATATGCTGTTAACAAGACCCCTCTCATCTCTGTTTCAGCCATGCCCTTGCATGTACGCCGCAGCAGTGATCCAGCTCTGGCTGGCCTGCCCGATGCCCAGCTGCAGCCAGAGGAAACGTCTCGTAAGAACCCCACACGATGGTCCACCACAGCAGGCTTTCTGAAAGCCAACAACACCAGCGGAACCAACAGCCTAGAGCGAAAGGTCAGTTCTTAATATCACAGTATCAGTTAGGCATTTCTTTACATTTTTATTTTCACACACACACACATTTCTAATTTCTTAAGTGAATTACCTCAATAAATGTGGAGTAATATCTATCCATCCTCCATCCATCCATCGTTCTACTTATACATCCATCAATCCATCCATCCATTTATTGTTCTCATTATACATACGTCCGTCCATCCATCCATCTTTCCACCCATTGTTCTACTTATCCATCCATATATCGTTTTCCTACCCATCCATCCATCCATCCATCCAAAGCTTTTTCATTGCAGTGTTCATAACTACTTTAATTTGATACATGTAGATTTGTTTATGTACTTTTGGAAATTCTTATGAGGACATTATTTTTCCATTATGTTTTCACAAACCGATGCACCAATTGGAGCATTTTTAGGGCAACTTCTAAGAAGTGACTTCACCTTTGCTCCATCTCGTCTCATTCATCTTGAGATTCTCTCAATGCCTTTTGCCACTGTTTGTTGTTGACCCTGGAACTCTCTTGGTTATGGAAGCATATATCTTCGCTGTTAGAAGATTGGGATCTGCGTCCTTTGTTTGTTGCTTCCCTCTTGATTCGGGCCTCATTGCGATGGTCAGTGCCTTTGGCTTTAAATGAATCAAAAAGAGGCACATTCTGTGTTTTCCTCCCTAGCTTCCCTGGGGCAGCCAATGAAAAAGAGGTCAATTATCTTTGCAAAATGGCTGCTCTTTTGCAGCAATGACAAGCCTTCGGTGCTTTGAAACGGCAATATTCCAAATTAAAAGAGGGGGGAAAGGGGAGGGAGCGAGAAAAGATGGAGTACTCAGAATGTGACACCGCAACCCGCGATGAGATTAGCACATCTCATGGCGTTCACTAGTAATCCTGTTTAAAAGCACTTTGCTTGTCGGTTTCTTCCATAATCCAAACACCACACTCTCATTTTAGCAGAGCAGAAGAATTAAGCTGTTATTTTTACCTTTCGTTCTGCACCGGATCATTTATTTCTTGATTGTTGTTTTTGGGATGTCATGAGAAAAGCTTGAGGTGCTTGGAAGGTCTGTTTTTGGTTGATACTGTCACATGACGATAAGCGACAGTGCATATAAATGCACTCTATTTTAGTACCAGTGAATTGGTGAAATTAACATAAAGGTGTTAGCTCACCTTGAAGTAAGAATAGCAGGCGCTGAGGAGAAATGTATTATTTCTGCATTTTGCCTTCAGGCTTATATATGCAGAGAACTGTCATTCTCCAAAACTCTATGGCTTTTCCTGTATATACTGTATTTCAACTTTTGAATCTCCTGATTAAAAAAAAAGTCAAGACTTGCTGGTCTATGTGTCAATGACTGTCCAAAATAAATTAAAGCAAAACAAACAAACAAAAAACATATCTTTTAAATAAACAATTTAAAATGCATGAGCCAAGTTCTCAGAAATTTTCTCTGTATTCATGTTGGTTTCAAAAATTTTCAGTTTAAATAACATGTGGTGTAACCATCAAAGTAAAAGTAGAATTAAATAAATGAATAAATAAAGAATTTAAGGGTTAGGTTGTTTATTTTTGCAAATATCATGTATTATTTTTGGAGCTTTGACTACATGACGTTTAACAACCTGAACTAACCTTGCTGTATAATAAAAAGGCAAATCATCTGATATTTGAAGAAACTTATTGACTTCTTAACCACACAGTCATTAGGGTCTGCAGAAGTCCCCTCTATGATGTCATTTCCTGTTTACAGTATGTTTTCCTACGGTATGATTTTTTTTTTTTTTACAAATACTTATAATATTTTTAACAAAATTGTTATTCATGTCATTGACCCCTAGAATGAAATCTAAGATTAAATCCTCCATATTGACCAGAATGTAGCCTGTGCCATGTTTTTATAAAGTAATGTTTGGTCTTCATGGACATTTTCTCTTATGGAGCATAACATCTGTCTCTCAGTATCTCTTCCTGAACTTGTAGAAACCTGTAGGCCTCCTGCTGCATTTGGATGCTTTGCCCAGGTAGGGTATATGCCTCAATCACTACAACATGCTCCACGGGAAGTCTCGATTCATAAGGCTGACCTTATATATTCTTCACCATCCTTTGGGCCTTTAACCTGCTGGTCTTCATGTTCCTCGCTGTATCTCTTCCTCCTCATCTTTGCCCTGCTGTCAGAATTATCTATATAGATAATTTACCATGCAGGAACATCAAAATCACTTCACCGTATACAATCGCTTTTGTCTGGTGTCCGTTTGTGAACTGGCTCATGCTATAACAGGAAACTCTTTTTCTTCTTCCTCATTCCTCAGACTAGGTCTTTAGCCAAGAGCAATGGTGCTCAGTAGGCTTTCTAGGCTAAAGGCCCCCCCTGTGTCACAGGATAACCTGTTTTAGGTTTGCTCTAAAAACTCTTCAAATTGAGATTTGACTTGAGCGCCATTGCTAGAGGGCGTTTGATTTCACCTCTGTGAAAACATGCAGCGCAACATTAGAAACGGTGTGAATTAGTAGCTTGTAATGGAGCTCCTTATTAGTGAGAAATGAAATTAGCGTGCCCTCTAAATTTAGGTGGCCTGAATGATATCATTGCGGGGCTCTGATCCAAGATGAGCTTCCCTAAGCACAGTGACTCTAATCTGGAGAACAGTTTCAGTAAGGTATTACTGTATTAGACACTACATATTTAGGTAAACTGGTATCAATGTTATTAAAACCCAATTTGTGTAATAACTAAGCTTTTTTAATTGCTAAAGTAGTTTCTTAAAAAAAGGGGGAAAAAAGTTTTGTTTTTCCCATATAATGAACGTGTATTGGGCCAATGTTGTTTGGACTACAATGTGCTTCTTTTGTGCCCCACAGGAGAAAGTAAGTCAACCCAGGCTCACAGGAAGAAAAAAAATGCTTCTGGTGACATTTCTGCAAAATTACATTAAGTTGCTTCTTGCACGTTTTACAGCACTTTTAAAGTGAAATGTCCAGTGAGTGGTGCTAAAAGTTTATTCGGTTTTCCCAGGAACTAATGAATGTGAAAGTAGCAATGGTTGTTGTACAGTACATATCACAGCATTTTGGAAATGAAATGTCCAATAAGTGGAGCTAAAAGCTTAATGCTCTATCACTTTTGAAAATAATAGACTAAACCCTACCATAAACTAATAGTGTTAACAAAAGCAATTGTGAGATAAAAGCACATTTGGTGTAGCTACCATACCATTTTATTTTGCTTCTAGTTATTCATGTTTCACAGGATCCATATGTGAGCAAAATGCAAATATAATGCTGTACCGGGTCGACTACCGAGCAATTTTACTATTTCACAGAAGGTATATACGTATATGGAGTTGGTTATGTGATGCAAACATGAAAATGTATTTGTTTTCAAATCATGCACTATGGTAAAAGTGTTTTAGGTCATAACCAGGGATTTAAATGAACTTTTTCACTCACCAGCCAATTTGGCTACTAAATTTTTAAGTTACCAGCTATTCATAACTTCTACCAGCCAGAAAAAAAGACAGACATAAACCAACAGTTTGAGGCTGTCTACACTGGATGTGACAAAGCGATCGTTGAAATTTATTTTGTGTCAGTACTAGGGGTGTGTGATATTGACAAAAAATAATGTCTCAATATTTTCTGGGATTTTATCGATAAAGATAATTAGACGATATTTTGGTGAGTGTGTTATTGTGCTGATATCTTAAGGATACTGTGGACAGCTGACTCCTAAAGTTTTTGATATTCTTCATATTCTGTGTGGTCAGTTCACAGCAGCGATATAAATTAATCTTTTCCAATAAGTTTAAATTGATTTTTACATTATATGCGCATTTTTACCTTTATAAAGCCATTTTTTTCTAAAAGTGTACACCATCTTTTGAGTAAAATTATTACATTTAATCAGTCAATTACAATAATACTACATTTAGGCTGTTACTAAACAAATTAAATTAGTATCAATAAAATTCATCTTTGCAGAAGTTGCATGAAGTGGCATTTAGATGTATTTACACATGTTAATGCAGCTTAGAGGGAAATGGAATGCTTTAGCCTGCAGTTACAAATGCATAAATAATTTTTTGATATTTTAAACATGAAATGTTGAATAGTGATATTTTAAATTATTTTAAAAATGAAAAGATACTCTAAATGTAAAATTAAACCAATTAAAACCACCAGTAGGTGGCAGCAAGTCACTGTTAAGTGAGTCATTGCGACTGAACCGAATCATTTAAAAGGTTGATTCATTCAGGAACGAGATGCAAAACGCACAGTGACTGTGTTTTAAATGTTTTTTGTTGGCGCAGAATATATAGCGCAGAAATAGTGCACAAACAACCAATATGTTGTATGTAAGTCTAAATAAAACGTAAGTCTCTTGATATTAACTTATTGTTTATTGAACTGTTGTAGAAAATCAATATCACATTTGTAACCATGCTGATTTTTTAAAGAAAAAACGGCACACTTCGTGTGAAATTGATTAACTATACGAATTGATATAAATGTATACTTTTTCTGCCCCCTTATCTTGAATTATGTGATCATTCTTAATGCATATTAATAGACTGAATCATGCAATGAAAGAACGCACTTCTTGCAATATATTCGATAATGTCATGATGTCTCACGAGTTCAATATTTGAGCTAAACCTGCGCAGATTTGGCTTGCATTAACTTCCCCAAGAAATTAATGAGTGAACATAACTTACGAAAAGTAACCTGCCAAATTGGCTAGTGATTTGACAGTGTTACCCACCACAGCTGATTTTTACCCGCATTTGGCGGGTGTTAATTTCAAACCCTGGTCATAATGTAGTATTGTGCAAGGAACCATGTGAAAATAAGTGTATATAAATCGATAATCTGCCCCATTTCTCATCATTTGCATAGGAATTAAAGTTGTTGGTGTTCATTTAAACTGGAAAATATAGTGAATTGTTTTGCCAAAATGTAGGTAGAGGCATGCTTTTCCAGTGAGCCTATGTTGAAGAGTTATAGAGTTTTAGTTTTCTAACGAGGGTGGGTAAATTACAGAATTGTACATTTTGGGTGAAGAAACCAGGTGTAAACATCCTCTTTCATCACCTTCATTGTGCTTTCCAGGGTAAGGGTCTGGAAGCTTATCGCAGCCTGCCTCGTGATGTTGTCCCCTGGGCCACCCAGTTTCAGAGAGAAAACGCTCGCTCCTCCCTCAGTGCCAGCCATCCCATGGTGGACCGATGGCTTGAGCGTCAAGAGCAGGTACTTTTCAAGAACTCATCCGCATATACCCAGCTCCTAAGTGCCTCTTAACTCCAGTAAACTGCGCTGATCTATAAACTTGTGTGTTTTTTTTATTGGGGATTTTTGTTTGAGTTAAAAGTGGATTCAGGAGTCAAGGGGAGATTATTGAATATAGCACACAATAAAAAAGGACTGCAGAGAGAAAAAAAAAAACTAGAAAATGACACCCACGTTGTAGGATGTGGATTTGACTAACCTTACAAAACGAGGGCCACGGTCTCCATAGACATGGATGCTGAGTGTCTTTGAAATTCAGCTCTTTTGTCAATGTATCGGTGGAACCGTCTGAAGGAGTGTGGGAGGTGTTTCGAATTCATCTCCCTCTCGCTCAGAGGAGAGAAATAGAAGAAAGAGGTGAGGAAGGAGATTGAGATGTTTGAGGCGCCCGGTGTGCTGCGGGGAATTCACTTATTAATTTTCGCAATCGATTTTCTCGAACCGCCAGCATCCATTTCACTCTTTCCCCCCACCTTTCTTTCTTTAGCCCATTGAAACGACTGTGACAGAGGTTCGGCTGCTTGTTTGCAATTCAGGTGGTCGCGGCTTCTCATTCCCCAGAAGCTTGAGTTGGCTCACAAAGAAATCCCCCACCACCACCACCTCAAGGGCCCGTGGCACCGAGAGTCGTGCATCATCATTAGGGAAGTCGTCTTGCATGGAGGAGCCTCTGGGTTGGATGTTGGGCTGCTGGCGGGTTGAAAGGAGCAGTCAGTCAAGGCCTGGGCTCAACCTGACAGACTCATTCATTTGAGCTTCAGTCTATTACAGCTTAGCCTGACCCCCCAATCTGTAGCCCGCCCCGCATCGCTCTTGCTTGCTTTCTCTCTCTCTTTCTCTTTCTCAAGCTATGCCATCAGTAGCACCTCTACATTCTTTTCTCATTTCTCCTTGCCTGTTTTCAGCCCCTTTCCCCTAATTTTCTCTCTTAGCAGGAAGTGGTTATTTGAAGTGACAGACAGATTTCAAGACAGATGCAGAGGTTCTGTTGCTATTCAAGCGCATTATGACACACACACACACACACACACACACACACACACACACACACACACAGAGTAGGTTGAAGCTAGTGTAGCTAATATTTCACCTCCCTTTCCTAGTAACGATTTGGTAGTATTATATATATATATATATATATATATATATATATATATATATATATATATATATATATATATATATATATATATATATTTGTTTGTATTTTAATGACGTGATTTTAAAGATTTTTCACCTAAAATAGAATGACAAGAAGGTGAGAAATGAATTTTATATTTCAAATTATACTAATGAAAATATTTATGAATTAAACTGGTTTAGATCAATGAATCAAACTGGTTTGAATTAGGGGTTGCACCGACTAGTCGACTTCAATGCTCTGCCATCCCTCATTAAGCTTGACGTCGACTAGTCGCTGATCCTATAGAGGGCGCAACAGGATAAGAAATCTTTGAAGGACTTCAACATTTACGCTCCGTTTCCAAACAGTTAAAATGACAAATAAATGCATACTCACAAAAGACATGTGTGATTATATTACTGGGTGCTCGGAATTGAACAGAAGAATGCACATTTTAAACAGCTTATTGTACAGGTAAGTTAATCGCCGTTCTAATCTAATGCGCTGCTGCACTGTAACGTACATCAGTAACAGTAGCTCGTACATCACGCACACAGAATCATTCAGAGCGGAAATGTATTGTCAGCACTGTTCTGTGATTTCTCAATAAAATAGCTTAGAAACTGAAAAGTTCAAGCATATATTTCTTAATAACTAACTCCCACAGCTTCACTACTGAGATGCTGCCAGGTAGAATTAATTCACACACGCAATCGCACTCACTAATGCATTCATATGAATGTAATCTTTACTGTGCTACTTTATCTGGATCTGATTTAGAACGAGCAGAAATCTGTGAGAAATATAACGACCCAAAGACAAAGGAACTGATGAAAATGAGCTGTTATAGGAGCAGTAGCGATGTGGGCAGTGCTGTGTCATATGCCATAGCTGCACAAGGTGTTTATCACAGCTCCAGACTTATTTGTTCATTAATGACGTCATCAGCGACTAGTCGAATTCGAATCGACTTTCATCCCATAAAATTTGACTTAAAAAAATCAGAAGTCCTTCAACCCCTGGTTTGAATAAATGACTGCAAATGCAGCTTGTGAACAGCTCTTTAGTTAGATGTGATTTAAATTATTTTCTGCCTAAAAATGTTGTCATGCTGATTTGGAATGACATGAAGGAGAGACAGGAATTTTATTTTTAAAATGATACTAATGAAAATTAGTTTGAATCAGAGTGGTTTGAGTCAATGACTGCAAATGCAGCTTGTGAATACCTCTTTAGTTTATTACTGTAAAGATATGTCATATAAATATGTTTACAAGTAATGCATAATCTTGTGACGTTTGTTAAGTACTGCAGTGTGCAAACATTTTTGAGTAGTTTGTTTAACATTGTACAGCGCCATAGATACACAAGGATATCGCAAGTCAAGCACGTCTTCATGTTTTATATGCACTCAGTCTGTCTCGTAGTATGATAGTTGCCTCTACTGGCTCATCACAAAGTTCTCAGCAATTATGTCTTTATTGCCATCTTAAATATCCATTTAATCTTTCATTTCCACTTTACTTTTATTGGCTCTAATTGTTTAGTTGCCTTCCTCTTCACAACCGGCTCAGTTCGATCTAGCCTCCATTCTATTTGCATAATGTTGTGGCTTTTTTTATAGACCTTGAGTAAGCTACTTAATTAAGCTTGGCTATTCTCTCTTTATTTACCATGTCAGGCGTGCCAAAGTATGCATTTTAAACGTCTCGCCAGGAGACTTTTCTTTCATTTCGAATCACTTTTTGTTGCTTTCTCCTCTTTTCTATGAAAAGCATCAGTAAACTCGATGAACAGACACTACCATACCTGAAACAGAAAACTTTTAAATAATATACCCTCTGCACTTCGGAAACTGTGAACGGGGAAGAACGAGGCCTCAAAATTAAAGCTGAATGATGCAACATAACGTTAACAGGGTCACTCAGTGTCAGTCATTAAATAACAGTTAATTTCTCTAAAATACATAATATATGGCAGTATATTAATTATGTTGCTATGTTATTCAATATTTGTGTATATTATATATTTTAATATGGCTGTTATAGTTTTGCATTGTTAGCTTACACCTATGTATCGCCTACATATTTCTGCTAAAATCTCTGGTATAATCTTTTTCCATAGCAAACTGATAGTAGGAAACTCTTTGTAAATGTTGAACTCTGTTGAGCACCACTATAATTTTTTTTATATTATAGTGCTGTGTGGTAAACAGTATTTTAATCGTGATTACATTTTTTGCTTCTCTTGGTTTGTTAAGCATAATCGTCGACTTTTCATTGTGATTTGACTTTTGCATTATCTTGCAATGGTTACTAGACTCCACAAGCAAAACACAAAAATGATACATTTGCCTAGTGGTTACTCAATCTTCCCAACCTGGCATGTGCACATTACTGAAAAAGCTCTAATGAGCTGAAAACACTGGCAAATGTGTAAGTTGGTGGTTAGCGATCTCTATTGTATGAAAGCCCGTTTCCGCCACTGAATAAAAAATAAAAGAGGTAACTGCGACTTTTTATCTCACAATTCTGACTTTTTTTCTCCTTTTTTTTTATATCACACAATTCTGAGTTAAAAAGTCATAATTGAGAGATATAAACTCACAGTTCTGACTTTATTTCTCAGAATTGCGAGTTTATATCTCTCAATTATGACTTTTTAACTCAGAATTGTGTGATATAAACTCGCAATTCTGAGAACATATCAGTCTTTTTTTCCCCCCTCAAAATTGCAATTGTGAGTTTATATCACACAATTCTGAGAAAAAAAGTCGCAATTCCCTTTTTTTAATTTATTTTTTATTCAGTGGCAGAAACGGGCTTCCATACTATTGAGATATTCTGCTCAAATAAAAGTGTAATACAGTCAATAATTCAGATGAAATAAAAAAAAAATGACAATAGTCGTGATTAATAATTGTGATTTAATTTTGTACATTTTACAAATGCATCGATCTGGTGCACTTCGAGCATGATATTAAGAGCTCAGACCTCTTTCAGTGACCAAACTAAAAAATGACTTTGCATTGATTTTAAATATTGTACTATTGTAATGCAAGTGCTCTGTAAAATAAATAATAATAGTAATAATAATAATAACATAATAATAATATTTTTTGAGCATTGTTTATATATTTTTCCACAGTGGTAAAACTGCAATACTTATGTCTTAATTGTAAGTGCTAAACTATCAAGCTTTTATTTTATTTTTTCAAATTCTGTCCACAAAAATTTTGAAAATGATGTGAAAAGGTGAAAATAACTCTGTAACTGGCACATGTTGCATTCCCAAATGCACATTAAACTCAAAACATTGGATCTGCTCTCGTGCAAAAGAACATGGTGCCTCGCTTCACTCTGAAACATGCAGCACAACTATTGCAGTCTATTTACTGCAATTTAAGTGCCCGAAGCCATTGAGTTTACGTTTTTAGTTCGATTGATAACTGTTTTGACAAAAAACAGTGGTGCAAAACAATGCTAGAGATCTTTTTTGTTATTATGAGAAGTGTAAAAAAAAAATCTGGTTCACTATGAAACTGTGGCAGGCTTCCACAGTCTAGATAAATGAATCAGGGAAAGTATCATTCATGTCCATGGCACATACTGGGAGTAATCGTTAGGGTTACTCCACTTCTACAGAAGCTAATTACTTGCTGTATTTACTGCCCAAACAGCAAACCACCCTTCATCAAAACTCTCTTTTCCCTCAATACAGAAGGATACCGGAGAGAGTCTGAGGTATAGATTTACCTCACATCCTGGTGAAACAGTACAGAGCGCCTCTGCATTTCATCTTCCTGACAGAGGAATAGCGGATTGGTTTTGTGGCTGGA